CTTTTAATTTATTTGAAGCCTATATAAGCTCAGTAGAATCTCCATGTACAGTAGACTCCACCTTGTCTGATCTCAGGCTTCTACCTTGGCTTGACATAGGCATTGTCTCCACCCTGCCCCGCTTCCTATCCATTGTATTGCAGGTTGTGTCCACACCCTGGATTTTATACCTGAGTGGATATCACACCCTCTTCGATTCGTTCCAGGTTCCGCCTCGCATCCCAATCTACAATATACAGTCTCCTAGGGAGGACACCGTAGGGTTGGTCCTACTGCTCGGGGAACACATGAGCTATTAGCATCTATCAGGTATATCCTGGTTGGGGTTCTCATCAGGTTACTCGCTGTTTAGCCAACCCAGAGGCCGTTGCTGACATGCTCTGCAGGTAGTCACAGGCCAAACAAAGCAAATTTCACAGTTTTACAATTGTTCTTTGCTAGACAAAGGACAGAAAAAGGACAGACAAAGGGCAGGACAGGATTCCCTACACTCAGGAAACCTCTCCTGCCCTTTGTCTGCCCTTTGTCTACTCTTTGTCTACTCTTTGTCCCTCCTTTGTCCAGTAAAGAATGATTGTTGAACTGTCACATGTCTTTTGTTTGGTAGGTCGTTACCTGCGAAGCACATGTGTCTGATGCATGCAGCTGTCGCACGTGTCAGTTCTTGCCTCCAGTGTTACTGGCAAAAGTCCAGTGGAAACGAGTTGGAATGTGCCAACACGTAATCACGCATTGAACATTGTTTCCGCGCATTTCAACGCCGTTTTCCACGAGTGGACCAACGTGTCAAGAACTTCAGATGGTAAGTATGGGATGAACGAGTAGCAATTGCTTCCACTCGTGACACCGCGTTGATTTTTCATTGGTGGAAACGAGTGTTCACTGATGGCCACAATAGAGCTTTTCTGTGAAATCTCGCGGTCTTTCTTTTGTCCCAAACTCAGTGCTTCACTTGAATGAGCTGACCATGTTTTTTCCAGGTTTGATTAGTTAACTGAAGCGTTGAACCTTGCACAAGGTGTGATAGTCAAATGAATCCATTTCCGCCGCCCTTCACTTACATGTGATCCGATTTCAAGTATAACATCGTGGGTATCAATGGCAGGAAGGAGGTCGTAACCCATAACCGCTGGGGCCTTTCCTTCCGGTATGTACGCCTCTTTACTCATCTACCTAAGTTTAAACTTTATCTGTCCCAGAAATCAGAAACCGCTTGACTTGCACTGACTTCAGGTACCTTGCCGATATAGGCCGGATTGGGCCCAAACGAAAATACATTGCGACCAAATTGCGAGCCGGCGCCGGCAGAGCAGAACACCAATGTGCTGAGCGTTGGGGGACGCGTGGAGAATGGCAGTCAAAATCTCAACATAACACTACATTCAACCTTCCACGACGACCCAAAACGAATGGTGAACTTGTCGACGACGCATTGCCACGCGCTTCCATGCGTGGAAACGTGCTCGACGTGTGAAAACCTGTTTCCACCAGTGCAAAACGGACTTTTGTCCGATAACGATTGTCATACTATGATAGATAAGTGCCTCCAAAGACTTGGAGATGCTCTTCAACCCTCGACTCTACTCGGATGCTTGTTTCCCAGCGATGTCGTGTATGACCTCGTATCCTAATATTGATGCACTATATTTTGCATTTCTCGCCCATCTGTCGCATCGGTCTCCACTTTGGCACACCAACAGACCCTACTCGGATGCTCGTTTCCCAGCAATGTCGTATGTATGACCTCATATCCTAATATTGATGCACTATATTTTGCGTTTCTCGCCCATCTGTCACATCGGTCTCCACTTTGGCGCACCAGCAATTCTCACAACTGATATAGGGTGAAAGCTTCACCAGCCGCAGGTGCATACCTCGAATGTATCGGTGTAGGTTTTTAAATATCCTCCCAGTTGATTTGACTCAACTGAATGAAGATCAGCGACCATACAGATTCAGCAGCATTTGCTGAGATGCTTCGTCCCACTACGTCATCCCACGAGCTGAGGGACAGTATCAGATACGAGGTCCCATCAAAGCTTCAAAGAACTGTGTTTCCTGGAAAGCATCAATCAAACGAAGCTTGTCGCCGATGGGATTCCATTCGAACCGCTCCTCTTTCCTCCTCTTCGATGTGCTGCTGTCTCGTTTCCATTCTTTTAATCCAGCTTTTTATCGTGCAATACACCCACGCCCTTGGAGTGTGTTTGGTTTGAGCCAGGATTAATATGGCAAGGTTGACATCCCACACAGATTCTGCTACCATTGTACGTCTCCCCCGGTGCGAACTGTGCTGCGTGGTCACCTGTATTCGACGCGTGAGTGTCTTTTCCGTGACCCCTTATTAACTTAACATCCTCTCAAGTATTTCCGCCAATGCGAACACGCAATGGTACATCATTGTCAATCCAGACAGTGGTCCAGGATCGTTCGACCAGCTCTATGAGACATGTGTGTCAAAGATACCGACCTCTGCAAACCAAATTACGATGGGTTACGTCGATACGACGGGTGGGAATGTTCTCAGAGACATCGACACCTACGCTGGATGGCCTAGCTCGTCTCGCCCTCACGGAATTTTCTTCGACGACATCTCGCCCACGACCAAACAGCTGGGTACATATCAAAGCTACGTCTCCCACGCGAAGTCCCAAGGCTTCACTTTTGTGAGTCTGCCATCCTAAACGTTTCCGAGTTCGGCTGATTCGTCGCGTTAGATCGGTCTGGACCCCGGCCAGACGGTTGCTGACTCGTCGTACTTTTCCATCGCCGATCTCATCAACACCTACGAAGACTCATATTCGTCCTTTAATCCCGACTCGTTGTCTGGAACACTATCCAAACAATCTGTGACACTGGTCAACTCACCCACAACCGGATCTTACAGCACGGTCATCTCGCAGCTCGAAAGCAAGGATGTAGCTGCCGTGTACATATCGACTGCCTCAGACAGCATCCCGGACCTCCCCAGTCAGTTGTCAGGATTTGCCAGTGAAGTAGCAAGTGTCGGAGGAGTGCGAGTTTTTTCTGGATCCCAAATAGATGCATGCTGAACTAAAATAGGGAGCAACGTCTTCTGGGTCGACTGGAACTAACTCTGGTTCAACTGGTTCGACTGGTGGTTCGAGTGGTTCAACTACGGGTTCTGGGACAAACTCAGGATCCACATCCTCGGGCTCTGCATCCCCAGGCTCTAACCCAGAGTCTGGTTCCTCCGGAGGTGGAACCTCCTCTGGCCTTTCCACACCCTCTACTCCCAACACATCTGGTTCCGGTTCCGGTCCCTCATCCACAGTCGTGAGTCCGGTATACCAGCTTCAAACCTTGCTTTTAATTTAGTATCAGGGTTCATCATCCGTCTCATCCAAATCTCCGTCCAACTCACAATCCGCTTCAGGGAAAGGCGTAATTACGACCGTATATCTCTTTATTTATTTCCATACTCATTGTTTCTTTCAGAATCTCGAGACTTCTTCCGCCCAGTCCCCATCATTGTCCGGCACTCCAGGTGTTACCAAACCAAATCAAGTGAGTGAATCTTGCCAAGTCCGACCCATAATGTAAGAGCCGATGTCCAGCCCGGGCCCGCCCCCGCAACACGCAAAGGACCTCCAATACCCGCCATTGTCGGCGGTGTCTTGGGGGCATTCATCATTCTGTTGATTCTGCTTCTAATTTTCTGGTGCATGCGGCGCCGTCGTTTCCCATCAGGTACGATGACTCTTCCAAAGAACTATTAACAGCTAATAACGAACATGGGCAGTTTCACCAGAGACGGCGGTTCCTTTCACCGAAGTGCGCAGCACCATTTTAATGCCCCCAGACGCTGCTTTCACCAAAGGCAGTACCATAGGTGAGATCGCTCCTTCCTAATCCTGGAATGACGATCTCAAGGCACCAGTCCCGGTGCCAGCTATAGAGTCCACGAGCGGGGATAATTACGAAACGGTCGACACGAACCTTTCCGCGAGGCTCTCCGCTGCACCAATCTACGGCCTGGCCTGTGAGTCACTTGCAGACACCTCAGGCCCGCCTCCCTCCTACCACAATTAAGTACAACCCTTGCATATTACGGTTCTGTTCGGTCGTTATAAGTTGGTCTTCCTTTCTTATGCCGTTCCAAATGCACATTCGATATTCTCCCACTTATATCACGTTTCCCCCGTTTGTATTGTGATAGTTTGGACCTCGCTCGTTTTAAGCTCTTCCTCTTTCCCCACTTTTCTTGACTCAATTGAAACGAGGGTTGAACATTAAATTCGACATACGCACGTGACGACATGTTCAACCGCTGGACTTATGAGCCCAGTCGATTGATTGGCGGTACGAAGAAACTAATTTTGCGCAAGTACATATAGTGACACCCAACGAATTACAATGTCACGACTCCTCCCAACCTTGGTGCAGGCAATGATCAGGGCCCATACTCACACCTCACACAACCCCAACCTCGCGACGCCCGAGCTCCACCCACTGAACCCGCCGAGCGCGCGCTGCAGGTGTGGAAGGACTCCGAAGGAGCGGGTGGGGAGGGGAGCAAGAAGGAATGATGCTAAGGCTGGAGCGAACAACGAACGACGAGCGACACCTACTATCACCAATATACTAGTAAACCTGGAGGCAATAGGAGAGTGGAAAAGGCATCATTATTTATAACTAATCCATCAGCCAGTGCAGACTCTGTTACGGTGCAGTGCGGGATGGTGGTGCAATAGTGATGAATTGGAGAGGAGAATGATGTAATGATCGCCGAAGTGATCCGCTGATTTAACCCGGATTCAGCCACCTGTTCAATGTCCCCCTCATGATTTGTTTTGCGACTGAGAGGCCTGCGCTATTCTGCCCATTCGAACGCCACAATGTTCAATGCTCGTCCAATTTAGTTGCTCGAACCTCCGATGTCGCCACGCTCGATCGAATATATGGGGGAGCGTTTGAGATGATGGCTAGTTCAAAACATGAAACAAAAGGAACATCGGAGACGCCTGGGCAAAACCAATAGCCCACCGCGAGGGTCGAACTCGCAGCCTTCAGATCCCGCCTGTTTCAGAGATACATATGTAAGAGTCTGACGCTCTATCCGATTGAGCTAGGCGGGCGAGGTCCTCTATTGATGAGTCGCAAGCTCACAAAGCGATACCAACAGTCAGATCCAGTCCTCGGCAGCAGACTCGTCGTTCGTGGCAGTGCCCAAATTGAACCCGGCAAGTTATCGGGATCCGGCGGCGACCACAAACCGGTGTTCTTTCAACCTATGCCGTTCCTGCAGGAGGTTGCATTTGGCGAGTTCCATTAATAGGACACAGTATAAAGGTCTCCAGCAGAAACCGTGAACCTCAGACTACAGTCCAACAACCTTCTGTACAAACATGCACTTCACCCCCAAGTCCTCCTTCGTGGCCCTTGCAGTCACTGCTGCATCGGCTGCCATCGGTGCTGCTTCCGCCGTGAGTTCATTTTATTTCTACATACCATGGTCACGGGTATTTAACAGGCCACAGGGTGCCACTGCCGCAACGGTTGCAATCGGCGCAGCACCCGTCGTGAGTCTATGATGTTTTCCGCTGCGTATTTTTCTGTGTTTACGGTCTGCAGAGTCCAACCCCCGACGCCGCCCTCGTTGACGGCCACGTCTACATCTGCACCGACGCCAATTTCGGCGGCGACTGCACCAACTACGGATTTACCAACAACGTGTGCTCGAACTTGCCCTCCGAGTTCCAGGATGATATCTCGAGCTTCGGACCCGACGCGGGGTGGGTTTGCGCGTTTTATACGTGCGTAGTTCTCTTCTTTTTGTTGATCAACCACCCACGATTGACGCGGCGTTTTTATAGAGAGGCGAATTGCAGTGGTGGCATATACGCGGGGGCGAACCCAGGCTTCACCGATATTCCCGGATGGCTCAACGACGCGTTTAGCTCTGTGCGTTGCGTGCCGGATGCCTAAGAGTCCGGATATTCAACCAATTCCGGTATCCGGCTGACATCCAGAGATACTAGCTTTCAATATATTTTTCCATCAGTATTCATGTGGGGCCTCCAATTGAGATTCAGAATAGATATGACAATTGCTCCTGCCAGTGTCGACTGATCAAGTCTCAGAAGTAATAAACGAAACCAAATTCGTTGGAAGTTTGTAGATCGTTGAGTTCTAATCCAAGCAGCTGATCAGCCCGACACAATTCTTTAAGGTGTCGCCGGGTGCAGATGGATCTAAAGGTAGGATACGTCGATGCTGCCACCCGTTAGTAGGTCCCGGAGTGGAGTCGGCCTCAAAGGTCGTTACTTTCGGTCCATGTGCAGGCTCGGGAGTCGAGCACTATTTCACGGGGCATAGGTAGTCTAAATCCCACCTCGATGTAATTGAAGGCTTGATGTCTATGTCATCCAAACCTCTAATCACGAACTTAGATATAAGCGCAAAAACATCCAAGTCTATGTGTCTGACCCAAGCCCGAATCGAATAGGCATCGTCACCATCGGTTCAAATTTCAACCTGTGTGCTATTCAGGGCTCTTCGAGATGGAATCTTCCTTAAGAAGAGGACTATGGGTAAATCAGACTCCGGGGGGCACAGTCCCAGAATTAAAACCCCGATCGGGTCTGGGTCGGAGGTCGAACATGTTCAACACCCGCGTGACGACAGGTTCAACGACAATGGACCATCGCCTGGCGCGGAGTTAGTAACAGGAGTTTCGGTACGAGGAAAGCAATTTGAAGTACATATACAGTTACACCTAATAAATAAATTACACAGTGATCCCAATCTGCCCACAACTCTCCCGCATCGGGGATATCTGGGATCCTACTCAAGAAATTAGACGCAATAGTATAACAGGAAACTGGATCCACATACGCAACAGCGGACAAGTCATTTCAAAAGCCGAGATTGCAGCCACGGACCTGGATAGAAATGCCCGCAGATTGAGCTCTTCTTCGCGAGGCGGACCCCTGTGCAGGGCTTTGAGCGCGTGGATCTCTTCGAGGAAGACTCCACAGGCGGCGGCCCAAACTGTCTAGATTGGGTGTGAGCAACAATCAGCTATTTTTGTGGGTGGACGCACCCCCATAATGGGATTGATGTATCGGAAATGCCGAAGCGGAACGGCAGCTATTATTCCGAGGACTACAAAACTCAGCGGACGTCATTTGAAAGACTCGGGGCATATATACCTGATCGTGCCGCGGCAAGCCGCTTGCGCTTCGCCGTTGCGTCTGTGTGCGCGAACAAGCTGTGCAGCCGGACCGTGGCGGCATGCGCGATGCTGTGCGCCACGACGAGCGTCCGCGTCATCGCTGGGGTCGGGTGGGATATCTGGTTTGGGGGCACCAGAGAGTCGCGGAAGCGGTCGATTAGGATATCGAGCTGCTTGAAATCGGCGTAGAATTTAGCGGAGATTGCGTTGGGCATGCCTGAGATAAATCACTCAGTCGTCAGAGCGGCGATTATTTGAGAGTGCGTTACTCACCCGGCTTCCACATGCGCGCGAGTTCATCGGCACGCACCCACAGAATGGACGCCTTCGCGAGCATCGCAACCGTCGACATTCCGGTGTCGAAAGTCGGCACACCGTTGGCAAAATTCTGAATCGTATGGCTGAACCGGGTGTTCGGGGAGAGGAGTCCCTAAAGATCTCATGTTAGTATAATACACACAAAGATGTCGTGGACTAAATGAACTCACCCTCGCGTAGTCGTCACTTTCGAGCGGCCAAGGGGTGTCCACCATGGCCAGGCTATCCCTATTTGCAAATCCAGGCGTCTCGCAGAGCCCCACCGCCCAACAACCGTCGAGGATCTTTACCGTCCACCAGGCCTGTATGCGCTCCCCTTCTTCGACGGCGTCGGCGGGAGGGTGAAGGATTCTCGCGGACGACTGGTTCTCCGAGCGAATCAAGTGCAGAGAGGAGCTCAAGCTCAGAGAAACGGCACCGGCAGTATGATACTTTCCCTGGATCGCGTCTGCATTCAGTATTGTGGACAGAACGCGCTGGGAAACAACTGACCTCCAGGGATCGACCGGACGCAAAGAAGAAGTATGATAACAACACTTCGGCCTGCAGCGTGTGCATGACCCGCTGTGGGTGTGTATCCGACAGACCTTTGCTGGTGAGCTTCAGCGCACGGGCGAGGAATGCGGGTTCTTGGGCCATCAAGTTTGGTTGGCCCGACAACCGCAGGCCCCAGAGATATACTGCTGAGAGGAGCGCGGGTGTGGGGCGGGCATGGTTCCCGATTTGAAATGGCAATAGTGCAGAATTACGGAAGCGCGAACAATCGAGGAAAAATCCGAATTCTGACGAGTATGGGAGAAAGGTGTCGATGCTAGTTGAAGTGAGATTTTTCATAAGGAAGAATTTGCGTTGATAACGTACAGCTGCTCAATCATATCTTTGGGAGGCTCGCTGGTGGCTATCCAAACTTCTACAAGAAATTCAATTCCTGAGTGTACAGAAAGAGAGAGAAACGCACGGGTAGGCGTGTCAGACTGGCTGGTGGAAGCGTGACCTGCCAAGATTATAAGTTTAAATCGTTATGTTTAGAGGGGAAGAAACTGACGCGCAGGCGTACTCGACCTACTAGTAGACGAGCCTGGGGAACCGTGATACGGTTGATGAAGTGGGAGGGCGTGGTGAACCTTGGGTGTATGATGAGGGTGTTCAAGGTGGTGAATCCGATTCTCCAAGCGGTCGATATCTTCTTGCAGGACGTGGGCAAGGCTCCGCTTCCCTCCGTCCGTGTATTCGCAGTCATCTTCAACATTCAAGTGAGTGCATTGACCGCATGGCAGATTTCCATCGCATTTCTACCCTGAAATGAGCGAATACGAAGAGGATTTAATCGGACGGTACCCTTTTGCGCCGTCTGCAATTGAAACATGCTTGTCCCCGAGGAAGCTTGCCGTGGTCAGGAGAGTATCTTGAGGTCGACGCCATGATGAAGGGTGAGGGGACGGCACATGTTTACGACGGTGCTGGTCCCTATTAAGGACTTCACCTACCTACGAGTCCAACACATCAGAGTTCAACCGGTTTTCGGTTGTCGGGGACTTCGGGGCCCTCGGTTAAACTAGGTTAAAGCGATGAATCCGTCTGACGTCACGCGGATCCGTCCATTTTGGGAAATCCCGTCCGCAAGTTTCCTGAACTTTGCGGAAAATTCGGGATTGACTCAGGATGATTCTTGTCCGCCATCGAGACCAGTTAGCTGGGTGTAAATTAGACCTGAAAAAGGACGAAAGGAATTTGAGGCTGCCCGGATTGCCCGGGGCTCGACCTTCGACTACTTTGCACAAACGGATTTACTTACTTTACATCCGGATCTGCTACGACAGTTGCCGTTCGGAGTAACACATGCCGGTGTTACTCGTCAGGAAGGCCAGAGACGCGGGTACCAGCACCAGGAGGTCTGTGACGCGGTTGCGAGCTGGTAGTAAGCAGGTGCAAGTCGTCACAACGATTGTTGATGTTGACGGTTGTATGCTGCATGCGCCGATCATATGGTGACCCAACGGATCACTGCATCAGTCTCGATCGTTCTTCCGTTCCGTTTATGAAATTTCCCAGGAGGGGTCGAGTTGAAAGAATTGACCCCAACTTTGGGACAAAAGAATGTACAAGGGGCGGATTAAGTCTCACGAGAAGAAGACGAAGGTAGTACTACAAAACCAGGCCTCGACTCGGAGCGACGGAGACTTGTTTCAACTTAGTTGGGCTGTGCATCGGCAAGCCCGTCGTCGTTATCAGGTTAGGTTACGCAGCTGCAACCTACCGCCGTCGGTGTGATCTGCAATGATCTGCGACATTCGGGCCCACAAACTCGCGGTGTCGGTGACTAACCGCGACTGCAAACAGGCGAAACTGTTTGACCCACCATACCAACATCGGGCCCGAGTTCAGCGAAAGAGACGCAGAAATTTCCCTAACGGATATCTTCCTCCATTCCAAACTCAACCGAGCTCGGATGTTCACCTAGCAAACTTGACAATAGCCATCAAGGCCACAATTCACAAAACTTAGGAACAGCTGCTTGCCGCGGAGTTCATCAGTGGTTGGCCTGCAGACAGTGGTGTTGTAATCAAGTTGAAAGCCGCTCGC